ATGGTGTTGAAATATTATGGGAAAAAATGAATTCAGTGTATTAAAAACAGAAGTTTCCTATTCTAAAATGAGACTAAATAGTCATAACAATATACAAGGATTAACAATTTTTCATTTAAATTAATTGTGATGCAAAACTGACTCCACGAAAACAATTTGTACTTACCAGAATAATGATGTTAACAAGGTAATAAAATATTTTTTGGAAAGCCAACATGTACTGTTTTGTAGTATAAATCCTTGTATTCTATGTACAAACACTCGATAAAATATTAATATACAATGTATATTATACAATGTATATTATAATATATAAAATTATTATAAGCTCGAATACTTTTACAATAAAGAATTTTGTCATTGTTCAATTCACCTCTTTTGATACAAAAACCTGTGTAGATTAAATAAATAAAACCTATGTTTCTAGCAACTACAATAAGTATTTTAATATATTAAAAAAAACAATTAATATATGTATAATGTATAAATAAATGTATAGAACAATAATCTCTCTATATACTATACTAGTAGTGTTCAAATATTGATAAAAATCACTATATGTAATTCTATTTGAAAGAGTTTACTCTAAAATATTTTATACGACGCTAGAGTAATATTTTCTTTATTAATTAGAGATCACTTGGATGAAGGCATCACTTCACTCGTAATTTTTTTCGCTCAATTTATATTATCAAATCATATTTTTTAATATCTGTAAAAGAAAATTCAAAGGATTTGCTTAATATTTTTTCATCGTTATGTCTTCCATTTAGAGAGTGAAATATTTATTAAATACTATTACAATACTATAACAAACCTATTATTAAAAGAAATTTTAAAGACTCTCATTTTACGATGACGAATTATATCGTCAGGTTGATAAAATTGAAGAAAATATAAGCAAGTTGTTTCTTTTGCACGAGATCTTTTAGGCTCATTGCAGACGAGTGACTTGTCATTACGATCTGACGATAGTGATGCTGGAGATTTGTGATTTATATTTTTTTAAATTGTATGATAAGTATTTTCCCATCATTATAACTTCCATCTAAGCTCTGTAATTTTGTAAAATTTAACACTAGAATGTACCAACTACCAACTACCAAAGCATAAGATTTCTGTCAGAGACATTAAAATAAAAGACAGAAAATTTTTTTAATATAATAGTGTTCACAACTTTAGAGATTTAGAGACTTAAATCTTTAAAAATACATTATTTTACATGTATAAAATAGAAATTATAAATCAATCATTTTGACCATTTCGTGTTACTTCTAGCACAATATGATAAATTTGTCGATTCTTAATATGTTAAAAGATCAATCCTCAAATTAAAATATTTTTAGATGTTGAAATGAAATTTTTCAAAATTTTTAAACGTTATATCAGTTTAAGATTAGAGTTTAAACGTTAGAATAGCATTTAAGATTTTTTAATATTAAGATAGCAGTCTAAAGTTCAGGAGAGGAATTTTTGAAACCAATTTTTGAAACAGAGTTTCGTAACTTCAAATTCCAAAAATTTGATTAAACTTTCGAATTTTAATGAAGAATCAGTCTTGAAGAAATAATTAGTTTCCAATTTTTATTAAATTTGGATTTGATTAAACAAACTATTTCGTTCTCTCGTTCTCAATATTTCAATTTGTCAATCGAATAATATCGACGAAATAAGCTACGAATTTATTTCGCGTTCAATTTTCGTTCCATATAAAAGTTCTTTTTTTTTTTTAATACCGTACCAGCAAAATGACATATCGTACTGTCTGAAATGTCTTTAATGATTCAGCATACGTAAATCACAACAATTACGAGGTCAAAAAGAGTCTCATTAATTCTAAACGGAGACAAGCCAGTATGACGACGATTTAATTGAAATTCTCGTTGCCTTCAACATTTCCATTTTAATGGATGACTAACTAACTAATTTATGAAATTTAACCGATCCATTAAATTGTTTTGTGGTACAATTAGCTCGGGGAATTCAAATACAATTGCGCACGAAGGCCGCGTAAATCGAGTAGCAAAGAGAATTTAAATATAAAATTAGCTAATGAAGAGCCAGTCGAAGATTTGACTTAAAAAACCGAGCAAATCCGCTTTTCAGTAAAATTATATTCGTTAAAATTTCGTTTTTTAACAATGTATTTTTATATATTGTCGATTGATTGAATCAATCGAATTCTACGCGTTTATAACAACTTTTAAATTTGCACAATGTGATCTTTCAAATTTCACCAGATCTATTCTTGAGAAATTGCTGTCTTTATGTCTGAAAGTGTCTTTTCTTTCCCACCTGCTGCATGATACAAAATTAGAAAAAAAACGAAATCAAGATTGTGCAGGTAAAGGCCTTATGCTCTAAAATGAGACCAAGTGGATTGCTATACGATCTTCTTTTACGAAGTTACAACAGTCCAAATTATCGACAATTTTTCATCGTTATTGGTTCAGCTATGCTTCTCGCTGTAACACGGTTTCTCTCAAATTTCCAACTTTCAAAGGCTCTCTGGGTTCTCCTGTTTTTTTCTTTTTTCTTTTTTTGGTAATCAAGGTATTTGATTACACCAGACAGGTAATTTGGAAAAAGGCAAAGAAGAAAGAAGACAGGAGATAAAACGTGGTTGTCGCTTTGCGTTACAGTGGCGCGTTCTCCCTGACGAAGACGGCCACCGGTATACTCTTCAAGTTCAGCAACATCGACGATTTTCAGGCGGTCTACAAAAAGGGCTTCCACAAAGTCACCGGGGCACGCTTCTACAAGAAGGTACTTATCTCTCGGTACACAAAGGACCCTGCTCTTCAGAACGCCTCTAAATACGACGTTTCCGTATTCATGAACGCAGGTCGCCATACCCTGCAGACCGGCGAAGACATTCACCGTCTACGTTTTGGACGTACCTGAAGAATTACCCGAAGAAGATATTAGACACGCTCTCTACAAGTATCGGTCTATAGTCGAAGTTACACGGCTACCTCTTAACACCGGCACTGTCTGTGAGTATTCCTCGCGATGTCGTTGTCGATAGATAAAATTGGGGAAAAACTGTGATCTGATTAATTATCATCGACTGTAATTAACACATTGTTGACCGGTCACGAGTTAACTCGTGTTTGCATTTGCATATTGTGAAATTTTTCTTCGTCGTGTTCATTTAAAAAAAAAAAAAAAAAAATACTTTTATTCATATTTAGGTTTTTATTGCAATTTTAGCGTTACAAAAATTTCAATCATGACGGGTCGTGACGGGTGAAGAACTTTTCAAACGCTTCATCTGATTGTCCGAGTGATTTTGGAATATATTGTAGTGATGTGGAAATTGATAGTTCATCGGCAAATTTGCAAAATCTGTTGTGTACCGATACACGTGATTGTTATACAGTTTATCACACCAAAAAAAAAGTTACTAAAATATATTATATGTATAAAATATAATATATATAAGAGGTATACAAAGTTCTAGTTAAATTCATTCTGTATAAATAAAATATATTGAAGTTTATTTAAATTGTTTCACTTTCATTCATGAAATAATAGTCGGTGATATGTGATAGCTTCTGTCAAAATTGCCGGTTATTGCCATGTGTTAATGTGATATCACAATATTAATTACTGACCGTAATTACTGATTATCAAATAATCAATAGTCGTTGATTAATAAATAAGGGACGTCAGAAATCAGGGAAATCAGAATTATTAATCATAAATTAATTACACTTATTAATCATAAAATATCGACAATATTGTGTATATTTTGCAAAAACTATGTATTTATTGTTTGCGTTGTTTCGCAACCTTACAATTTTATCAGGATGTATTATCAAAATATTTTTCAGCGATTGAACGTCTCATCTATACGATTCTTGAACCGATTTTCTGTACGACTTAATGAAGATGGATAAACTTTTGCCGAATGATCAAAATTTTCAGCTTCTTCATATTAGAGAATTATAAACTTTAACAAATTATTCTAAATTCACACTACGGACACTATTATGCAGCAAAGAATACACGTAAATATTCTCTCTATCTTGGGTCTTAAACCGCAAGCATTTTAATAATAACATTTAGTTATATTAAATCTCTACATAAATTAACACGTTTGAACGTTATAATAATGTGAAGAAACAACACACTATAGATCGTAATAAAATATAAATTAATTACTTAATGATTTAAAAATTTCAAATTAATGGTTAGAAATTACAAAAATTATTGATTTGTTTCAATAATGATTAATTGATTATTGATTTCTATGATTATTATTTAGTAATTGATTATTACTAAATCAACTCTGTCGATAGATCACTGTACGAAAAGATGTCACATCTTTCGAAACTTTTGAACATGTCACAGATGTTTCTATTTTATAATCTTTTTTTGTGACTGAAATTACTACAGATTGAAGCGTGAAGCTTTTTCTTTACAATACCCTTTCAAAACTTCACGATGTTTTTGTCATCGTTTTATTAAATTTTGAATATATATATATATATAGGTTCAGGCAACGAAAATTTAAAAAAACGATATTTCACTCAAACCCAATATTCAAAGTTTAGTAGAATGGCGAGGAAAAATCGTACATCAAATTTATAAGATTTTAATCCTGAAGATCGTTCTAGATTTAGCCATGAAAAAAAATTTGTTTATGTTTTTAGAAATGTTTGACTTTGTAACATTCTCAAGGAAAAGAAAATCTTCATCTCTCTACTTATTGCGTGATAAAAAAAAAGCATCTTTGAAAAAAGATAAATCTGAAAGTAGAGACTTTATATTTTAAATTTGAGCTCAAGTGAATTCTTGTGCGAGTTTTTTCTAACAATGTTACAGCAGCATGTTAACAATTTTTCAGAAGTTGAAAATTTAGTCATATTAATATAACATATATTATAATATATTGAAATTAATATAATATATCACAATATAATATTAATATAATATATCACAATATATAATATATCAAAAATTAGTCATGTCAGAATATTTATGGAAGTAATTGTAGATGATTTTACATCAGAACGACTTGTTATATTTTTTAAGATGATTTTGATGAAATATAATATCAAACTGTTAAAGTAAAAATTTCTACTAAAATCCGAGATTTGAGATATGATTTTGTCACAGATATTGCCGACAAAATTATGTTAAAACCGATACATTAATGAAGATCAAAAAGTATCTACATTTTTTGTTGTAGACACAATAAACATAGATGTTTTGTATAGTAGAAAAAAATTTTTCTTTTTCCATAATTAAAATCGTGATTACACTCATATTTATTATGCGAAGAATTATGTTGGAAGTATTCACTACTAATATTCAATTAATAATATACTAATATTATAAAAATATTCAATTAATAATATACTAATAATTTAATAATCAAGATATTAATTTGTTAGACAATATTTCGTTATTTGAAAGTATAATCCGAAACAAATGTAAAAATAAGACGTACATTTGAAAATTTCAAATATTTAACAAAAGAAAAAGACTTGAAATATTTTGTTTATTCATTACTTTATTTATTTGTTAAAGTTGTTCGGAAAAAATGATGATATTTTTTTATATTTGTTTGTTGGAGTACCAAAATAAAGAAGAAAAAATTGGGGAATTACTATACAATCACTGTGAGTATATTAAAATGTGCAAAATGTTTGTTGTTGTTGTTGTTGTTCTCAGAATAATTTTACTCGCCTCATTCTACACATAGTAATTGAAATTTTAACTTAAGTAATGTTTATTTAATTCATTTGCATATATATTCTTTCATATATATGCAAGAAATATCACTAATATTTTAATTAACAAATTATGTAAATGAGATCCATAAAATGATCGAAACCACTCTTATTTTATATGGAATATTCGAAATTTGGAACTGTCCGTACTGATATGGAACAAATTTGAAACCAATCTGGTTTAAAAAATATGTACAGAAGTTAAAAGATATTTATTGCAAACATATATTTAATGAAAAATTAATATACGACAGGTGAATAGTCATTTCAAGGATATAAGTTTTAAAGATGGCTAGATAATTGTTCAGTGTATGATAGTCGACTCTATAATATATTTATATATTTGAATACTTTCGTGAACAACTCCATACCAATCTCTACATAACGCGTATTGTATTGATTGTATCGATGTAACTTTATTCGCATAATATCGGTTTCAATTTCACGCGTTAAAGTCCAGCTAGCACGAAACAAAAGGGAGAAAAATGGACAAAGGAAGAAAAAGAAACGACGCGCAAAGAAGGAATCACACTGGTAGAACGCGACGTGAAAATCGCGGGCTTAATGCAATTAGTCACATTAATTCCAGGCATTCGCTTGGAACGTCCGCCAATCGAATTAATTTCTCCAACCGCGTGCCCGCTGACCCGATGTCTGCTTTGTGAATTAGTGAAAGCGATCAACGACAAGCTGAAAAGCGACGCTCACACCCAGAACGAGCCAGCGACGATTTACACGGGGCCACCCGTTATAAGGGTCACCCTGGCCAGCGTGGAAGAGACCTCGACGCTGCTCAGCCGTGGCCTGGATTTTTATGGGGCCACATATTTCCCCACCGAAACGCCCCATCCGGCTGCTCAACCCCTGGCCAAATACAAAAACAACAGGTGGGAAACGAATGTGCGCGCTTGCATATGCCTCGCGATATATGTATGCACGCTTTCCCGCGTCCTAGCTATCTAAATCAATTTCAATTTATCGGGGGAGCTGCCGATTTCCATCACCTTGCTCCCACTTTCGCCTCTACCTCTCTCCTCATCAACTTCCTTTCTGTGCCTCTCAATTGGCTGTTTTATACAGTTGTCCAACAACTTTGTTATTCTAACAATTGGATCAGAAAAGAGAAATGGGGTGAAATGGATAGTTTTGTTTAGGTTTAGAACGAAATATTAACAAGTTCCCTGCCACGTGTCAAGCTCGATATTTTTTTCATTAAGAGATAAAGAGGTAAACAATAATGATGTTTGGAATATTTTTTAAGCCTAAGTGTGCTGATGACGTTACACGCGGTATGGTAATGAGTTATCATTGTTCTTTTTATCCGTTCTTTTATTTCGTGTGTAACAGTTTATCTTCATGTCTCCCTTGCTTCAACAAAATACATCGTTACAAGAAATTATAAATAAGAGAAAACGTAAAAAAATAAATATTAGTTATTCTATATTTTTCTATATATACGTCCTTGTATGGATTTTGTTTCGCTGCTTCATTTTTTTAATTATTTTATTATATCTCTTCGGTATCAGATGAATTTGTTTGTTTGCTTTATATCGCGCGGATTGTTTCTCTTTTAATATTTACCAAACACCAACAATTTTCAGCAATTCAACAAACAAACAAGGACAAGTAAATTTTGCAAATTTATAACGTGTTGAAAAAGATATAAAAAAAAAGTTAAACGTTAATAATATGACGACCGGCTACAAAATGTGATTTTTGTTGTATAAAGAGTGTCCCGAATTTAAAGCGGCGACTGAAGCAAAAAAAAGTCTTTCAGAGAGTGTTTGTCGCAGTTCAATTTATTATATTATTTTTCAACGTCGATCAGTCGTTTAAACGAATAACGCGATCATAACATTAAAATCCTCGCGCCAATTAAACTGGACTTGATTCACGAAAATGAAGGACGTTTAATGCGCGAAACGTCAACCATCGAGTCTGCTGCGTTTTATCAAAAGACGACAATACTTTGAAACGGTGTTGTTCGCGAGTTTAGCCGTTTATCAGTGGGAAATAGGCGACCGTATCGCCTGGTGGAACACGCGCTACGCTTATAGAATCATAAAAGCCACTCTCTAGCTGCTTACAATTCGAAGCTTAAATTAGAAACTAGCCGAAAATAACCGCAGCATCGGAATCTACGTTTGTTTCTGTTTGAAAAGCGACAAAGCGACCGCAAATCGCTGGGACTGAATAAATCCCAAGTCTGAACTTGGTTCACGTACAAATGTACCTTTTATCCTGTATTTATGTCGAGATAATGACCACTTTATAGCGCAGAGACACGGGTGGACACAAGTGTAGTTTCATGCAGTATACCTTTCATAAATTATTCAGGCACGGTTGAATTTCTGCTAATTTTCGTTAGTGTATCGTGCTTTTTGAGAAGTCTATTAACTCCGTATTTAATTTTGTTGTATCTTCTATATTTAACTCTTTGGCGGCGCCTAATATTATTATAATTTCTTTGTGCAGAATTTTTTGATATTTCTCACAATTGTCTCAATTCTAGATAAGAATTTTATTAACAATGATTGAAAATGTATATTCTATATATGATGCTTCAGCAATGATCGATAACATCATAATTTATTGATAAGTTAAACTTTTTTGATATTTTTCATAACTATTTCTAATTTTAGGAAATAATTGGTAGTAAATGAAAATTTATCGTGCATTGATAATTTAATATTGTTGACAAATTTTAGAACATTCGTCCAGACAAAATTCGACACTGAGAATAAAAATATATGTGCAGTCTCTCAATGTGCAATTGATTTATGACTTTAAAATTTTTAAATTTTACACATTGTTTCGTAAAACATTAAAGTGTTTGATTACAGTTTATAATTATAATTTATTAACTGTTAGAACATCACGCACGCACATATTAATAATTTATATATTACTGAATATTTATATTATGTATTTGCAATATATATTATATATAGTATAAATATTAGAATAATACGTATTTATTATATAACATAATACATATATTATATAATTTTTTTATGCTGTGCGTTTCTACTTAAATATTTTATCAGTGCTATGTTAAGCATAAAATGATCACATG